TAAGAAGAGAGGGACTAAGAGCTGGTGGCCAGGAGCAGACTTGCAGAATGTGCCCTTTGGAGATGTAAATTATTATATATGCCTGAGTGGGTTTTGTTGTTTGTTTTTTAAAAAGCTAAAGTGGATAAAGAGAAATACTGTTAACTGATGGTACATGGAGGGGATTACAATCATTGTAATGAAACAAGGTGTATGATTTGTTGAATGTAAAACTGACGATATTCCCTGTAAATTTTCACTCAACCCACAAGAAAAATCTTTTTAAAAAGGTAGCAGAAAATGTCACCAAAGCTTAAAAGAACAATTAAAGCGATTTCCTGTTATGTATCTATCATTATTAAATTAACGAGCTATATTATTCAAGAAGTACTGACATGAAAATTTATGAAATTTTAGAACACAGCAGAAATACATTTCACTATGTTGTGAAATTTCATGTTGGAAAATCCCACTGACCTTTGGGTTTTATGGGAATTATAGATATCCAGATCTACCGAACACGAAAAACACTCAGCAATGAAACTCTTCAAACTCTGTAATTCTGTGAGTTGTAGACTCAATAAAGATCAAAACAAAACAAAAAATACAGGCCACAGGAAGAAAAAATACACAAAACAAAAATGTTGCACTTAAGGCTACCTGTAGGTCTCAGATTAAGATCTCCTGCTTTAAAGTTGCGTCTATAACATCTCAATCAGAAACATTAGCTGAGTTACGCGGGAAAGAACGCAAAGAGTTTAGGCTTGGCTTCCAGTTTGCGTAAAATTGGCCTTTTGAGCTTTCACCAACTTCTCGAGAGGTTTACGAGACTTTGCTCTCTATTGATGCCGGGGACTGCCCTCCCTCTATGGCCAAAGACAGAAAAACTAAAACTTTAACCTAGATCAAGCAGCTCCGCCGAGGTTTCCTCAACAGAAACCAGGAGAAAGCCTCTCGCCTTTCCTCTAGGCACCGGGACTCAGAGCTCCCCGAAAAACATCCCAACCGAGTGTCACCAGATAGGGACCACAACAAAGAAATTCACCTAGTCAGCGCCTGGCCCTACCTCAACTCCCTCAAAGTTGGGAACTCCTACAGAGCGGGGGAGGGAATACCTCCTCCCCCAACGGCCTCAACTGCCTCCTACCAAGTCCCCGAGTTCTGGTTCCCCAAAGACGCGGCCCAACGAATCCCGGACTCACTGGAAAGTGGGGCCAGGTCCTGGACCCGGTCCGGACCCCGGAATTCGGCGGGTTTCCCAGGGTTTGGGGGGAGGTGGTGGCTGGGACGCCATCTCCTTCACCTCCACTCGGCTCCCGCTCAACGCCTCTACCGAGGCCGGGGTCCACCAGCACTGCGTGCGTCAGGCACAATGGGAAGAACGCCGAGCCCTCCACCCCGCCCACATCTGCAGTCTGGACAAGGGTTGTGGTGCTTTGCCAGATGCGACCAGAGGGTGAGAGGATGCCAAGGGAGAAAATATTTTTATTTTTATGCGCTAGATAGTTTCCATTCCACGCTTGTGTGTTAGGGCTCATCGATATTTCTGGCAGCGGCTACTATGCCCTAGACATCAGGTTTCACCGACGTTGCTCAAGGGCCAGAACCTTTTAGGCCGAGAGTAAGGTCCCGTTCGCTGCCACATTCTTGGGCAAGTGGGGAGTGTTCCGAAAGACCCAGTTATTTAACAGGTTTCCTTCAAACAGAAGGGAGATTTCGTTTAGTCCTCGCGAAAGGGGCCCGGTATTTTCGTTCTAAAGCGTTCGTTTCCTGGGGGAACAGAATTATTAGACGCAATAGGTGCGTTGCTTTAGTCTTCCCCGTACCCTCTGAGGGGCCGAAGGGGTTAAATCTCGGTCTCTGGTTTGGTGGAAGCAGGTGAGGCAGGGAGGTCTGAAGTGCGGGTCCGAACTGGGCACAGGGCAGGTGTGGGTGGACAGGATCGTTTCCCTCTGGCTGAAGCGACTTTGTTAGCAGGGAGAGGGTGAGTGGGAAGTTTTTTGGACCTGATTGTAGGGTGTTGGGGGAGGGCTTGCTAGGCAAAAAGAAAATCGAGGTTAGACCTTCGAGGGAACTTTCTTAGAATTCAGGGTAATTTCAAAAGTTAAAAGTGTATCAGTAACTCATTGAAGTTGTGAGAACCTTCTTCCCTTGAAATCCTCATTCCCCACCCCATCGGACGAATGACTGACTCTGTATGGAAACGGATTTTAAAAGATCTCAGGATTTGAGACTCAGTTTGGTCCATTTTGGTGGTCCCTGCTCTTTCTTTTGCAATGGATACTTTCCTATTATCGTTCAAGGAGGTGAAGTTATGAAGGAAGTCCATCATCTCAATTGCGGTAGGAATCCTTACACGCGGGCGGAGGTTCTGTTGCAATCATTTTTTCCAGAGTCATTCTATAAAACAAACACGTAGAGGAAAAGCAGTTTTTTAAACTAAGATTGTTACTGTTGGTAAGTGCCAACAGTCGGTTCCCGACTCATAGCGACTCCATCTAGGGTTTCAGAGGAGCAGCTGGTGGGTTTGAACTGCCTGCCTTGTGGTTCGCAGTTCAGTGTTGATCCTACAGAGCCACACCAGCCAACGATAAAGCACTTGCAGCGTGGAATGCATTTCTGAGGGCTCACTTTCAAAGATAAAATATGAAACAATTGACTCCTGATATTTTAAGAAACCTTATCATTTCAGGACTGTGCAAGGTGAAACAATTAAATTTGAATATTGACATTCCTTTAAATATTGACTCCTTTAAATATTGACATTCTTGAGAAGTCATTAGATTGTTACTAAGTGCAGATGATCTTGATCGCACCATTACTAAGCACACACACAGGTATGTTGTTTAATATGTATGTGTGTTTAAAAATGTCATCAAATTAAACAGGAGGTTTCTTAATCTCAGTGGGTTTGGGAATTTTTTATAGCCAGGCGATTGTAATGTGTTATTTGTTGACTTTTACATGACACCTTTATGTCTTTAAACCAAGGGAAAAGGAGCATACATTTCAATGAAACTAAATCCTGGTGTGGCGCTGTAGAATAATGCACTGGATCCCAAGGTCAGATTGAACTGCAAAGTCTGCGATTCAAACTCACCAGCCGCTCCTTGGAAACCCTATAGAGGGTTGCAATGAGTCTGAACCGACTCGATGGCACTTAACTACACCAACAAAATGATGAATTTTATGATTAATTTTTTTAATGTTTTACCAATTTGAGGTTTTGATATGAACACAACTTGGTCAAGATATTCTTTTTAACAACAAGTCCCAACAAAGTGTCGTTTTAAAGGACCTCCAAAACCAAACCACCCATTAATTTATTTATTGGGAAGAGGGTGTATTTGCTTCTCTTTCTAAGTTAAGAGTTAGCTCTGAATTAAATAAAATCCTTGTTGTTGTTGTTGTGTGTTGTGGACAAGATCCTTGTGGAGGAGGAGAAAAGATAAAATAATGGATGAGACAGAAACAGTGTTCTGAAATGGTAGTGCAGTCAGGGATGGACGTAACTGCTGATGTTCAGTCCTACATAGCATCCCCATTCCTTCAAAGGCAACATTAAATTAGCAGATGGAATGGGCTTGGGGGAAGGATTCAGATCATTTGTAAGCAATAATAATTTGACTACATAGAGTTTCATTGTTTAAAGGGTGTTTTCACATCCTCTGTGTACTTTCCTCCCCACAAATAAGATCTTTACTTGTCATCATTACCAGTCGGAATTTTGACAGATTCTTGAACTGGTGGCTCATATCCATCAACTCCTTCAACTTTAGCTCCTGTCTCATCTTCAGTAGCTTTTGCAGAACTACTGCCTGCACCATGAAGCTTCATGAGGTTTCCTAACTCAAATTTGGGCTCCTTCAGTATTTTTACTTTCCCAATGAACCTGTCAGGGAGAGGAAAAATAGACTGGCGATTCTTTTCAGTGTCCTTCCCAGTGCTGTCTGGAATCAATTTATTGACCAGTTCTTTCAAGTCACTTGTCTGCACCTCTTGGATCATGATTTCCATCATTCTCTTCCGGATTTCACAGACCAGTTGGTGACAAGCGTAAGATGTTTTCGGAATCTGATTGTTGCATTTTTTTCAGTAAAACCAACACAGAACCGATGAAACAAATAACGATCCATAATCTTGACATCAGCATGAGCTTCAGTCATGGTCTGACATTTTTTAACCATGGAGCACATTTTGTCATACATCATGGAAATTGGTCAAGCAGTTTTTACCCTGAATATTCCCAGTTATTAGCTTGAAATTTCTAAATGCATTGTCATCATTCTGCAGATCAGCATGGCTCACTTAAAAAACATGACCCTTGAGGCCATCAGATGCAAATTTGGTTCCTTGAGTCCTTGTTACTTGTAATATATTTTCCAATATTTCATGAACATATATTGGTATGTGCCTTCATATCATACTAGTCTTTTTTAGAAAATGAATCAGCTACTTTCTTCTTGCCACCTTTTTGAAGATTCTTGTTCTTACCAACTGCCATGGTACTCAGCCAAAAGACTTGAAAATAACCTGGAGCCTACATTTACTTTTGCCACCCCAAACCAGTGTTTACCAATCTCAAACTTCTCTCTGATGTGTCCAGATAAATCTAGTTTTCTACTCGTTCCCTTTACCTGTCAACTCATATTCGTCTAAATTCAAACCCAGCCAGAAGCAATCTATTTTTGTAGTGCTGGCTACTGAGCTGATTTTATGGTGAAGTGTTCTGTAGAAATATGTATCTGCCTTCCTCATTATTTTGTATCAAGAATCTACTTCTCTTGGTGTGTGGCCAGACACTTAGAAACTTTTTCTTAGTGAGTTTGTTTAAACTCCAAAATGCGGTTTATATTTTTACCCAAAAAACTGCAAAAAGTAGCAACTAGTTTTAGACAAGTAATTACTTTCATATATTTTGTATATTTTAGTTTGTTAATTAGTTGAAGCTTTTACTTGTGAATAAAAGCAGCAGATTTTTTTCATTTTGCTAATGTTGTTGTTAAGTACTCTCAGACCCATAGCGACCCTGTATAGGGTTTCCAAGGAGTAACTGGTGAGGTTGAACTGCCGACCTTGTGGTTCAAACCCACTTTTCAGTCCAGCGCATTAACCCACAGCACCACACCAGGATAGCTGGTTGTTATTTACTTAAAATTTTACCAAAGCAGAACTGATGTTTTTGGATCGATTACCAATTTTTTTTAAACAACTAACTTTTCTTCAGGCCACTCAGTTCAGTGTTGTCATCCAGTGCAGTTATTCATGGTGTCACCCCCCCCCCGCCCCATGGGCTTCCTCCCATGCCAGACCAGACAGAATCCTTGTTGTTAGGTGCCGTTGAATGGTTCCAACTCAGCAACCTTACGCAGAGCAGAATGAAACAACTGCCCAGTCCTGCGCCACCCTAACAATCATTGTTATGTTTGACCCTGTTCCTGCTGTCACTGTGCCAATCCATCTTGTTGGGTATCTTCCTCTTTTTCAATGACCTTCCACTTTACCAAGCATGATGTCCTCCAGGGACTGGTCCTCCTGATAATAAGTCCAAAGTATGAGAGACAAAGTCTGGCTATCCTGGCTTCTAAGGAACATTCTGGCTGCACTTCTTCCAACACAGATTGTTTATTCTTCTGGCAGACCACTTGTCTGCCAGTCTGTCATACTGTGGTGACTTGCATGTTGTCAGGCTGGAAGCTATGCCATCAGTATTGTAAATGTCAGCAGGAACATCCATGGTGGACAGGTTTGACAGACTAAGTTTCCACACTAAGGCAGACTAGGAAGAAGAGGCCAACTACTTCCGAATGTTTAGCCACTGAAAACCTTATGAATAGTAGTGAAACACTGTCATGTCTCACAGTATCCTAAGTAATGTGTGTTACCATTTTTAATCATAGACTAATGTGATCAATATCTGAGTAGTTGTAAATTGCTTACATGTAAGGAGTCCTGATGTGGCGCTGTGGTTTAATGTGCCAGACTGCAAAGCCGTTTGAACTGCAAGGTTGGTAGTTCAAGCTTACCAGCTGCTCCTCGGAAACCCTATATAGGGTCACTGTGGGTTGGAACTGACTTGACGGCACTTAACAATAACAACAATATTTCTTAAATTATATTAATACTTAACAACAAAATTGTTTCATAAAATCTACTTTGAATTAGAACATTATTCGTAACTGAGCAAAAACCTTTTTAAGTTTTTCTCCTTTTTCTTTATTGATTATTTCATTAAAGAAAATTATGGTGCAGGTTCACAAACACTGAGTATCACAATATTGTAGCTAGAACGCCAGAAAATTGGACAAAATCTGCC